AGGCGTAACTTCTTCAATTTCCAAAACCATTTTTATTGGTATTCCCGTCAACACTAACATTAAATCATAATAAATTTGCATTTCATGTTTTCGCATAAAACTTTTCATTAACAACATCTTATAACTGGTAGTGACGTTACGAACCAAGCTCTTCCCGTCTTCAGAGTAAGAGCAAAAGCAAAAGAAAGAAATCAAAAACAAGAAGGCATGGGAAGGAGACAAATGGATACTAAAATATCAAAGCGGAATGTCAAGAAAAAACTCTGCTATAATATCCATCCGTATGATATCTCGGAATAAGATGAAAAGTTTCATGCAGAAAAAATCATATTTTATCCTTAAAGTCAAAGAAGCGTTGCTGGCCTGTGCAGCCAGGTGTATTAATCGTGACCCTAATTCAAATGTCAGCGACACATGGGCTGAAAACATTAAATTTTCACTAATGATGGACAGTGCGCGCAGCCCCATTAATCATACGCATCAACTTGACCTGCATGAAACTAAGGCCGTGTAAATACCATGGTAAGGTTGAATGCGGACCGAGTTTGGACCGTAACGTCAGAACCTACTATATGGTGTTTCTAATTAAACATTTTATGCATCGTTATGCCCTCTGTGACTTATCCGCATATATTACCATATTCCGCATAAAAAACTTACGTGTAAGTTTTAAATGAACTTTAATTGCAAATTACTTCACGAACGGAACATTCCAATCTTTCATATACTTTTGTAATTTTGCGCATGGTGAAAGCGAATTGTTTCATCTTCAGTCGTGGATTCTTTCTAATTGAGCAAGGGAACACCCACAGACAATTTTCCTTCCAACAGAAAGTTTTTTTGAATGCTTTCGAAGTCCTATCTTCCATACGTGCACCGCCCTATTTTCGTTTCTTGAAAGGTTCTGCAAAGAAGATTTTCACCACCATCTCCAGAAAGATGCAAACGAAAATTTTGTCAGCTGAATTTTTCAGGAAATATTGAGCCGAATGCTGCAATAAATTTTTTTCGGTTTTCCATCATTGAATATTTCAAAAATTATATGTGTTAACTGTCTAAAGTCTATCACAAAAACATTGACATGGGTAAATTTATCTAGATTTGAGTGTAATGGCTACATAAATATCAAGTGGACAGTAGCCACGTGTTAATGGACAAAATTATGAAACTAGTATATAGTTACCTATGCAGCTATTTCATTAAATTAACAAACAGTATGGTCACGCATAGAAACAATGTAATTCAAATTAAATGGTAACAATGGCAATGTCAATAGTGATCATTCTACGTATAAGCCACTTTTGATTCGTCTTTACTGTTGAAGCTTTGATGAAAAGTCCCAAAGCATATACGGATTAGAACGCACTGTCTCCTTCCTTCAGTGACATAAGGAAGTCATTCAAGCAGGTTACTTCAGATTCAGGTTATCTACTGCCAGAGCCAAACTCTGGCATATTATTGGGGACGTTGGAGACA